GAAAATGCTCCATCCTAACACTCGTGATTGAAGAAGGTGGTATCTGACAGAAATGTAGTAGAATGAGAAGACCCTGAAGGAAGTGAAATAATGAAGAAAGGTTCACAACATAAGGTCCTTTGAACTAATTTGTCTATGGATTAAAAGATCCAACCAGAAGGACAGAATGAATAGTGAAAATAGAAACAGTAAACTGACCAATAGGAAGTAAACTGTTCATTTCTGGAAGTAGGTTAACTTTTCCCAAAAGAAAGCAAATTTCTCATTTTAAAGAAAGAACAGATATAATATTAAAAATTACTTGACAGTATTTTCTTAATTTTCAGAACCCCGAATCCCTAAGGCAAGGTCTGCTTACATATGAAAGATTATACTAGCTACTAAAAATTATCATTAAATAACTCAAAGCTTTTATAATTTAGGTGTATTCACATAAAAAGACAAAATAATATATATTTCCATGAGATCTTCATGCAGTGACCCACATTTAATAATAATAAATTAAGTAAAAACAATATCCAGAAATTACTAAGGATGCCTTTAGAGTGATGTTATTTTGAAAGAAAGCAAAAAGAAAATACTCAAATAGGAGTTTCACATATTTCTGATCGAAGTTCACTAATTGAGAAAAATTGAGATTAATTTTATAGGTGTTCTTCTCCAGTACTCTGGAGTATTATCTGCAAGGTCACCCACCCTTCAAATAATTAATGCCTCCACTAAAAAGATATGAAAGCACAATTTATAGCAGTGGTATTTTATTCTTATAACAAAAAATGCTAATATTCTTACAAAAGCAATCATGAAACACTTCGTGTGTATATAAAGAATTGCAAAATCCCCATTTGGGCAGAAGCAATGTGATTTATGGGAGACTTAACAAGTAATAAGCAAAAGCCATCAAAGAATACAGGAAACAATAAAGAGCACTGAAATAACTGCATGCATTTTCAACTTCCAATATTAAAAATGTACCTCTAATGCTAGATAATGAAAGCCATTTCCCTCCTCTCCTTAGAGAGGGCAGAGTAATAGTTACTATGTTGGTCAATTTAGCTCAATTGCTTTTCTTTGTCACAAGGAAAAGGTGGGGAGTAAGGTACACTGGGAAATGATTAATGTTAAATAATAAAAGGAATAAAAATAAAACTTAGAAAAAGATCTAATCTTTCAGAAGACATAATTCTTTCAAGTTAACAAAATATTTATCATGAAAATGAGTAGCTAGGTTACCACTTAAATTAACTATAAAAAAGGGAATAATTCTGATTGTTCACCTTTCCAACTAGGCAGATTGTTTAAGCACACCATACATTCAATGAAAATATACAATAATAGACATTTAGAAGTGAAAAACTAAATGGAAATAGTTTAGAAAGACAGAATGTTTAGAAAGGTAAAAAGTTAACATATATTTCCATAATTACGCAAAGTTTCAGCTCATAAGAAATTGAACAGTGTTTGAATATCATCCAAGCCTATACATCGACTAAGCAGTTGTAACTCTAATTAAAAAGAAATCCTATAAAGTATTCTCAGTATTATTTTGATACAATAGTTGTGCTTAATAGGCTCTTTGGCAGTAAATTTTAAGAATGACAGGAGAACAGCATAGTTTTGGAAGGTGCAGTCTACATTCTACCTTTCAATGTTTGAGACAGCAAACTATTTGCTTATGAAAGAAATGAAGAATGCTTATAAAATTTAATCTGCTTCACCAAAATTTCAATGTTGACTTTTCAGAGCAGAAGAGGAACAATAATATATTTAGCTATCAAGTGTCAGAGAAGCTATTATAATCAAATTCAATTGTTACAGAGAAGTTCTTGAGGCACTGTTAATACTAAGATAATAAATTTTTTTACTCGCTATTATGTAGCATTGTCCTTCTGCCTACATATCACCTATGGCAAGAAGTACAGAAGAACACATTGGTCTCCTGAGAAATATATGCTACAAAAAGTAAAAGGCGATTCTTTAAACTGCATATAAAATACAAAAAGAAACAAAGTTAACACTATGACAGATATCCATTCCTTACTGTCAAAACATTTAGGCAACTTGTACAAGATCTAAGAATTCTTGAAATAGACACCTCTGATAATTACTGATCATAATAAAATGGCTAAACATCCTTCTAAAAAGGTAAAATATAAATACTCAATTAACAAAAGATACAACAAAAACAAATTTAAAACTGTACTTTTGTTTTAACCATCATAAACTCTAACATTCCAAATCTTGGTCCTAAAATCTAACAGAAACTTGAAATGATGCCTCTTCTGTAGTACACATATATATGGACATTCAATTTTGAGGCCTCTGACAAGTTGCATCATAAGTCATAAGTGACCTAATTATGCGACCAGACTGAAGAGTCAGAACAATCAGTCACAACCCATGACAATATGAAGAATCATAAATTGCTCTATTGAAAATTCACACTCTACTACCCTCCTAAATGCAAAGATTATAGTGAATAGGACTGCAACCACCATTTTTGCAATGAGTAATATAGCTTGAATTGTATATTCCTTTGACAATCTAACAACGTGACATAGTCTTTCTAAGAGAAAAAAATCTGAGCAGAAAAGGCAGTTTAGATTCATGTTAAAATGTAACAGCACAGATGGTATTCTAATAACCTAAATAAGAGTTCTTTTTCTTCAACTTTTGTTTATTAGGATAGAGAAGAAGAGTACAAGAGTCCTGATTTGATTGATAAAGAAACTATCCAATAAGAATGGAATCAGCTTTCTCTTGCCACATTTCTTGGCAGAGTCCATCCATTTTCCATACTGCAGAGTCCACTTTAACAATAATATTTCTCAAATCTTTATTTTCAACTTCATATTTCAAAGTTCCTTCTATGAAAGCTCTGTTTGTGGATGTACCATCACCTAAAATACATGTTTAAAATATAAACTACCTCCCCAAATTCCCCATTTCTGTCAACAATGTCAACAATTTCTGTCAACAACTTGGACTGAAAATCCCTAACCACAAATGCCTTCCATTAGTAATTTTTCCTCAAAAATTCAAGTTCTCTTTGCCACACACACACTGTCATCATTCTATTCAGGCCCTATGTCTAAGTTATAGCAATAACATCCTAGCTGGGTTACTTGGCTCCAGTCTCTCTCTTTTGTAAAGTCCATTCATAAAGACACAGAGGGAAAGGGACTAACAGAGGTTGTGTGCTCTAATCCAGCATTTAATATTTAAGGAAAATGAGGCCAAGAAAGATAAGGGGGTTTGTCAAAACTGACACAGGCAGTTAGTGGGGAACCACAACCCAGTTCTCCTGACTCCCAGATCAGACATCTTCTTACTATACAAAGCTGCTTCCCTTCTCCCTCACTTTACCATCTCATACAATCATCTACAATAACTTTTCAATGCATTTCAAATGCAACTCAAACTCCAGCCTGGAATTCAAAATCCCACATAATCTGAGTCTATTCTTCCTATCTAATTTTACTTGCTACTATTCTCCAACCCATACTGTCCATTTCAGTCAGGCAGATCTCTTTACCCACTTTGAATATAAGAAGTTCTTTCCTTCCCTCAGAATGCCTTGCTGTCTCTTTCTCACAGTCCCAGTCCTACCCATCCTTTATAGGTCCCCTTTAAATCATACTACTACAGCTTGCTTACCTCTTCTCATTCCTGACCTCTCAAGAGACAACATTGCATCACATATTGTGCTCTAATTCCAGCATGTTATATGTTAATAACGTCTACCCAACTAGACTATGCGTTGTGAATTGAACTGTTACTAATAGTTCAAGTGAGTTTGTGTATCAGGAGTCGGCAATAACCAATACTGCTATTTACTTATCAACTCTACACTTTTTTTTAGCTCCACCAAAAGAAACACAAATATTCAGTTTTATATAATTCTCTGTGTAAAGTATATTTTCCGTTATGGACAGATATGGTGAGAAGTTAGCTAAAAAGCTAAGTGTATTCTGTTTGTTCAAGTGGTCTAGGTTATTGAATGTTTTGCTGACCTCAGTTCAGCTCTTTGTGTAACTGGCTAAAAACTTAACCTTTGTACATCATTTGCATCTAGTATCATATTAAATATTCATTAGAATCCTGAGAGGCAGACACAGACATACTGTTATTTTCATTCTGCAGATAAAGAAACCAGGGGCAGTTAGGCGGCGCAGTGAATAGAGCTCTGGCCTTGGAGTCAGAAGGACCTGAGTTCAAATTCAGCCTCAGACACTTAACACTTATTAGCTGTGTGACCTTGGGCAAGTCACTTAACCTCATTGCCTCACCAAAAAAAAGCAAAAAAAAAGATAAAGAAACCAGGACTCACAGAAGTTGTCACTTGTACAAGTCACAAAGGTGGAAAGTGTTGGAAGTAAAAACTGAATCCAAGCCTCTCCTAAGTCCAGTTTTTTCCCATTAAACCACACTGCTTCAACTAGTAATAAATGTTTACACTCGACGCTTAAAAAATAGACCAAAGGCTCCACTGCTCTCTGCATACATGAAGAAAGTACACTAGTTTCATGGAATATGAATGATTATATTATGCATTTCCATTGCGTAGACAAGGTTCTCTATGAAATAGGGCTGGACATCTTCCGGCTCTAATAATATATGATCTATTAAAAAAAAAGTCTCTGAATTATTCCAATAGATTCAATCCCCCACTAGACTTTCAAGCTCCCTATTTACTACCTAGCTGAGTACTTTTCACACATTTAGGAACTAGAAATTCATTTCATTATTCTTTCAAACAAGAGAACCACGAAGGTAAAATATAATAGGAAAAAAAACCAATGCAAAATATTTCAAAACAAATATAAATGACTTCTGACTCTGTTCCACCATTTCTCTTTATTAGATGGCTTAACTAACAATAAAGTATATTTGTTTTCTTTAGTTATTGGTCACCAGGCATTCTATAAAAAAAATGAATGCACTTAAGAGAAGGTCATTTTTTCCTTGTTCTATCAATACCTGGAAGTACCAGAACTTACCACATCACTAGCACTGGAGAACTCATTATTAACCAGACTTTCAAGGGCCATCCATCGAACTGGTCTATTTTCATTGTCCCCTAGACAGTGATAATCCATGGGGAATAAGTCTCTAGATAAGGCATTGTCAGTGATCTTTACCTGAAGTGTATCATCAATGCTGAAAACAAAAAAGGAGACAATAAAAAGACGAATCATGGTTATCATTTAAATATACCTTTGTAGTATATGTCACAAATCCAGGGAATATTAATTATTAATTGATGACAACAGCATAGTACTTACACACAGTTTCTAGCAGCCAGATCTTTGTGAATGACCTCTCTTCTTGCCAAATAGCTCATTCCACAGGCAATCTGAATAGCCATATGTACTAAGTCTTGCTGGGAAATTGCCTGTGATTCACAATGGTAATGTCAATAATCAAAATAAAATACCTACAGTACAACTCGTGCCTTCCTCCCTTCATATTACTCCAGATCTAAATATTTCTTTCCACCTACAGACTCATTTCTAGAAGCTAGACCTTGACTATAAATTTCATTACACTAGGTAATATATTTCGATTGTTAAAAGTATTTAAACAGATATCTTCTTCCGGTTTATAAACTGCATCAGAAATGAGTCAAATGATCACTTTGACTTTGAGGATAATGGGAGAGAAGATGGAAGATTTACAACTCTCTAAGAAATATACTGTTAAAATGTTTTCAAGGTGCTACAAGATCTCTCTATTAACAAAACTTCAGAGTTCTCCTGAGCTCACTGCAGACTGTTATCAAAAACTGGCTCTCAGTGTGAGTAGATCAAACAACTAACAGTTCATCTTAGAACAACACAAGTAGGGCTAAAAACAATATGTAGATAGATAGATGTACATATATCTAGATATATACATATATATGTATATGTGTATATAAATGTGTCTATAAATCCATAAATATGTACATAATTCCCTAAACATGTGTATAAATATGCATATAAATAAATCCAATTATATTATAGAAAGCTGTCCATCTACACACTTTTTATATGTATATAAACCTATGATACAGATAAGTACATCTATCTATAATTTTTTTATGCTCTATCGTATAAAGACTGTAATCTAACTTTCTAATACAACTCAAACTACGGTCATAAGCAATTACGTTTGTAATCTTGAGCAAGGAACTCTGAACTCTGTATCCTTATCTGTAACAAAGGGAAAAAGGTAACATTTTCACAGAAATGTTATAAAAATTATTGCCAATGTGTTAAAGGGTTTTAAACTACAATGAATAAATGTACTTTGGAAATAAATTCAGCAAAATCAGCAACAGTTTTTTGGGGGGAGGGTAAACATTCCGGTCAAGTCAGAGGAATCATAATTCATTTTCCTTCAGCCTGCCAGGTTTTTATCTTCTTTCTTCAATGCTTTTGATTTCCCATTAATTATTCTACATTTATAAGTATTTTTTCACCTCTTCCAAGGATGTTAACATAAATTATTCATAAATAAAAGACATTACTGGTATTGGGCAAGTTTCTCTTACCTGAGGATTGTTGGCCTCTACTAATTTGCACTGTCGTAAGAACAATTTAAGGTTTCCCCAGTTCATATATGGCAATAACACCATGGGTTTTTCTCCTTCTTCTATACAAACATGAGTGATAGGAAGCAGATTTCTACAAAATGGACACAAAATAGGAAGGAGAAAAACAAGTAAAATCCAAAACCTCAGTTATCTATTTTAACAAATGGGATAAAAGTAAGGCAAAAACAATCTGAAAAAAAGTATTATGACTATAAACAGATACAGTATTGAAAACAGGCTTTAAAATATGGAATTTAAGCCATTCCTTAAAATAAAACACCTCAGCTAAACAGTAGAATTTCTCCCTCATTATCTTGCAAATTGATTTTCTTGAACAACAGCCTGATGTAACTGGAAGAGAAATGAACTTGAGCCAGAAGATTTGGGGTTGAATACTTGCTACCTGCTAGCTTATACAAGCTATTTTTCTCCAAACCTGTTTCCTCATCTATAAAATATGGAAACTCCCTCCATGGTACAGTTAAGCAATTTGTCCTTAACTTATAATCTTAAGAGAATTGAGTGGACAACTGAAAGGTTAAGTAGTTTGCCTGCTCCTAGTCTCACAAGCAGTACATCTCAGTCAGAACTTGAACCCAGATTTCCTGGATTCCAAAGTTGGCCCTCTACTCTCGAAGACACACTGCCTTTTAATGCTACTGTAAGAATTAAATTTTGAATGTGGACCAAAAGGGGCTATTTTAGAAACAGTTTTCTAAATCTAATTTGCCTGTTATCTGGAAATTGAAATAGGAAGGCCTGGCTGATAGTAGATGTCTTTAAATAGATGTTTTACCATTTTTCTTTTTTCATGCAAATACCATAATTTTAATTCCAAATCACTAGTTGTTGTACAAAACTGACTTCCTTCAGACATGCATCCCCATTAAAGTTTTGGTTCTCATACCAAACAATTTTGTAGCACACGGAACAGAATGGCACTGATCTTTGCTGCTACCTGATGGGTTCAATAGATAGTCAAGGCATTATTTGATCAACAAGTATTAAGCACCCCTAATTCTAATTAACTCTTTCTCTGCCTCCAAACCAATCTTTGTCTGCTCATACTAAGTAAAACATACATTACCAGGGCTCAGGGCAGGTAACAGAGTAATAATCTTCATAAAGCACATCTTCTCACTAACTTGCTCAAAATCCTTCAATGGCTTACCCCTTGAACATCAAATAAAGTCCAAACTATGTAGCATTCAAATAGACCCAACCTATCCTTCCAGTCTTATCAAAAAATTTTTCTTCTATACCATAGCCAAGATGGACTATGTTCCCTGCTTCCCAACCACAATTAGCATATCCCTATCTCTGTGTCTCTTGTGTTCTTCCCTCTACTAGAATGCTTTCCCCCTTACTTCACCCATTGAAATCTTACTGTATCCTCCAAAAGACTAGTCTAAATGTTATGTTCTCCACGAAACTTTCCTTTTTCTCACTCCAAAGTTACCATGATTTCTTAATTACCAAATTAGATGGACTATTCTCAAGCCTTATCCTTCTTGACACTGTTGACCATCCTCTCTTCCTGGATATTCTTTCCTGATTAGCTTTTTGTGACACTATTCTCTCTAACAGTTGTCTCCCTAATCAGTCTGCTCCTTCTACAGTTTCATGGTCTTAAGCCTCATCCATCCCTTGCCCACTAACTGTAAGTATATTCTATGGCCTTAGGTCCTCTTCTCTCTATACCTTTTCCTTAATGAGCCTCTTTTATCAGTTTCCAAGGACTTGATTATCATTTCTATACAGATGACCCCCAGATCAACAGATCTAGCTCTAGCCTCCTTTATTTTGGCTCTAGCCTCACATCAATTATCATTTGGACATTTTGAACAGGATGTCCTCAACATTCTTCAAATTCAACATGACCAAATGAATACCTTTTTCTCTCAAAATTCATTCCTCTGCCAAACCTCCCCATTTCTTTTAAAGACATCACCATTCCCTCAAACATCCAATTATGAAACTTCAGTAACATTTTTGTCTCCTTTCATTTCATTCCACTGAGCCTACCATATCTTGTCATTTTTATGCCTGTAACATCTCTCACATCCTTCTTCTTCCCTCCACTCTCACTACTCTAGTTTCAAGCTCTCACCATCTCTTGCTCGGACTATTACAACAATCTCCTAATTGGTCTCCCTACCTCAAGACTCTCTTCATTTTAATACATCCTTCATTTCCTATAGTGAAGGTAGGATCATATCACTCTCCCACCAAAACTCTTGAGGTTCCCTATTCCCTTCAGGACCAAATATGAACTCTGGCATTTAAACCTCTCATAAGTAGGCTCCAAACCATCTTTCCTGTTGTATTATATATCCCCTATCTTCACAAAATCCACAATCCAGTCAAACAAGGTAATTTTTGCTGCTAAAGAATAGAAATAAGAAACTATAAAAAGCTGGGAGTGGTGATAAGAAATTCGGCCACCTATACAAAATTGCTTCGGCAAAAACCACATCAATGACATGCTGCTGATAGGATGTTTTCTTGTAATTTAAAAAACTTGCCTTTAAGGTATTTGGCATGTTATTAGCATGCTATAACATGTTGTTAGCACAGTTGTATCATGTTGTTGGCACATCATAGAATGGTGTTAACATGTTATAGTGTGTCATGATGTTAGCATGTTATACTATGCTACACTGTACTGTATCATATACTATACCATACTACCATGTTATGTCACATTGTAGCATGCTACATCATGGTGTTAGCATGTCACAGCATGTTGTTAGCATGTCACAGCCTGTTGTTAGCACGTTATAATGTGCCGTGTCATGTTGTTAGCGTATTATGCTACACTGCACTGTACTTATCATACCATGTTATACCACTTTGTAGCATGTTACGCCATGCTGTTGGCGTGTTGCTGCATGTTATAACATGTTGTTAGCACGTTATAACATGTCACAGCATGTCATAGCACGTTTTTAGTGACTTCCATATTTTGAAAGTTTTTCAATACATTCAGCTTGGAGATGATTAGTTTTTGGTACAGTGATAAGTACTAAGTTTTTATGAATTGATATTGTATCTGACTGTAAACAGTTTGATCTGTAAATATATTCAAATCATTTAAAACAAAGTATGTTACTGGTCAGGAGTAAACTCTATTTAAGTACAGAAGAAGCAAACAGGAATTTAAGACTATTATCCCTTGGAAATGGGGGCATGAAATTAAAAAGTATTAAAGCAGATGTTAACCTAGAAGAATAAAAATAGCTCTCAAAATTTTATGCACTGGGATCTTTTAGATCATTTTTGTCTTTTACATAAGTAACCAAAAGATGCAAATACATTATATGCAGCACTTTTAATGCAAGGAATGCTTTTTTGCACTTAGTATCTCTGTCTTTAAGTTCATTCATTAAGGAAGAATGAAACTGTCAAGTTTAGAAAAACAGTAGCATTACCAAGAAACAATAAAAGTGAAATGACTGCTTTGAGAGGGGCAATGACTTGTAGCAGGAGGTGCATTGGAATGGGACTGAAGTAGTTTAGGCTTCTCTCAAAGCTATTACCAAGCTTTGAGAGAAATCTTTGAGAAAGCTCTTTACGTAATCACTCAATAATGGCTTCATTTTTTTAATCTGTATAAAAAAAGTATACTAATTAGTTTTAATTGAAAGTAAATCAGAAGTCTACTGAAAGTTCTGTATGCACTCTCTAGATATACACATACATACATACACACATGACAGCCAGATAGCAGCTAGCTAGATAAGAATTCTCTCCAATTATCTTTGCCCCTAAGTCCACATATCCTGCAACCTTTCCTACTTCTGTTGAGGGAGCCACCAATCTTCTAGCCACACAGTTTCATAACCTCCTCATCCCTATATCCTATCAGTTTCCATGTCTTATCAATTATAGCTCCACATCTCTCATGTCCCTCTCCTTCTCATTCACATGGCCACCATCCTAGTTCAGATTCTCATCACTTCTCTTCTGAACTACTTCAATATCCTCTTGAAGGATCTCCCTGATTCCTATTTCTCTCTTCTCCAATATGCAGATTTAATAAGATAATCTTCCTAAGGCAGAGGTCTGACCTTGGTAATCCCCTGGTCAAAAAGCTTCAGTGGCTCCCTATGGCAGTTAAGATATACAAAATCCTCCACCAAGCACTAAAAGCTGTAGCGGATGAAAGATGGAATGACTGAGGAAATAAAGGTTCAAGCATCTTAATTTATTAAGCAACGCATGCTGACTATATAAGAAATTGGGACCGGACTTTCTCAGCTTAGAGTTGGACCCCAAACACTGGGAGAGACAAATTTGTATTCATTAAAAACAATTAATCAAATAAGACCAATTAATTAAAAGAAAACAATTAACCAGTACATAAAATTAGGTAATCTGATTTCTAACTGGAGGAAAGATTAGGGACTTTCCAAGTTGCGAAGGGGAAAGCAAACATGTGCAATTCCTTGAAATCATAAAGAGGTGTCCCACTCCCCCTTCTATCCCCCATCCACAAGATCTGTAGTCAATCAAAGGAACACGGAAATAATAACTGATTGACCAGTACAAGGCCAGCAACCCAGACATATGGGTTGTGTAACTGTAAGAGAAATCTTTGTATCAACCTTTGGATCTGACAGGGTTTCTGGTCAGCATAACTTCGGTCTTTATTTAATGGTCTCTAAGCAGCAAGTAGAGGTGGTCCATCTTCCCAGACATCCAGAGCTAGGTTCAAAACAATTCAATAAAGTTTTCTCACAATTTCTATAACTGAATAAAGTTTCCTCACAAGACAGAAATTGGACTAGACCCATAATTGAATAGAAAGGGAACTGAGCTAGCTCTAGAACTGAGTCACAAGATGGAGTCAGTGTTGTTCACTCAATTCCCACTACCACTTGCTGTTCTAACCCTCTCAATTCCCACAAAACCATGTATAATCTTTCCAGACTTTAACTACTTGCATTTTCCATTTCAGTCACATCAGCAAGCTTACAATGTCTTGCACAGACACCCCTGTGTCTGTAATACAATCTTTATTCACCACTACCTCTTAGAATCTCTAGCTCCTGTGCCATCCACTATGGGAACCCTTCCAAATTCCTTTTGTCTCATATTTCTGGTGCAGAGCATAATGGCTACTTTATAGAAGATACTTAAGAAATACTTACTAAATTGAATTGGAGTACAGAGTATTATTAGCACTGGGAAAACAGAGAAATATAGATTAAATAACATATGCTCAATTTTAGCCTCAATTTTTTCCCATCTGTAATTGTTTTAGCTGATGTTACATACTGTTTCTTATTGAAAGCAACAGTGGACTTTTCCACTACTATGGGTTAACATATACTGAAAGTATACCTCAACCAACCAATCTATCAATCAACTAAACTAGGAAGAAGACAGTCTTATAATCTATAAAAATGTGCATGCATACTGCAGAAATATGAGCTGGTTATTTTATTAAAGCCTTTTGGTCTCTTTACCTTTTCATTTACATATATCCTAGTACATATTTGCTATAGTTTTTGACATACCCATCAATAGCATGTCTAATTACATTAACAAGGGTCATAAAGTGATTTAATAGTATAATCAAAACATTAGACATATGGAATGAAACCAATTATTAGATATATATCAGGGAGAAATGGGGGGGTTCTATAAGGAAAAGAGAAAAGATATTTTCTTTATTGAAAAGAACAAGGCAGCTTTATAGACTATCAGTACTCATTTATTAGCTTACATGTGATAATACAGATGAGAGGCAGAGTTTCTGGGTACTTAATAATCAATTCATTAATCAGGCTAGTTGATAATCAATAAATTGATGGCCAAGATCCCTAATGGAGATACTGAATGCCTTAATATAATTTTATAAAAGGGGAATGCCCCTGATAGATGAAAATCAATCCTGATTAGTGAACAATTAATGAGGGAGTGGGTATAGTAAAGAGGAGTTGAGCTAAAAGTCTTCAGCTGTGAAGTATGTGCTATTATTGTCCTCATTTTACAGTTCCATGAAGAAAATGAGGCTGAGAGAAGTTAAGTGACTGTAAAACCAACATGTTATCCAGTGCAAAAAAATCACAGTAAGTTATAAGCAAAATCACAGGATTTGTAGTTCAGGCTTTCTTAGCTCATGCAGGCTCATAATAGGCTCTCTTAGCAAGTCAGCAAGTCAGTAGCTAAGCCTGGATTAGAATATTTTCTTTTCGATGCTGAACACCACCTCTACAAAGCTAATCAATAACACATTCATTCTCTAATTTTTGTTATTGGTTTGGGTTTGTTTTTTGTTTTTTTGTTTGTTTTTTGAAACTAGGATATTAATTAGCTTTGGTGGGCCCATTACTTCCTATCCTCTTTAGCAGAAATTCACAAACATTGTTTAGCATTCCCAGGAGGGCAGTCACATTTTCATTATACTTTTTTTTTGGTTTGCAAATTTTCCACCAATTTGACAAAGACATGTTCAACATACCCGAATATACCACAGAACCATAGCTATACAGTTGAAAGGGGCCTCATGGATCTAGTCCAACCCTTTCTTTTTACAGGGGAGGCAAGTGAGCACAGCGAGGAGAAGTGTACTGATAGCAGGGTGGGAGTCAAAAACAGGTCTCCTTATTCTAAATTCAGTACTGTTTCCATTACACTACACTTGCTACTATATATTTCATATATCCCTGACTTCTTATAATGCAACATTCCCTGACAAAGAAGATCTATAGGTCTTTTATATTAACCTATAAAAAGATAATTTTAAAATAACAATATCTCAGTTTAAGGTTAACAAAACATATTTCTCTCAATAATTCTATAAGATAAATTGTATTATTCCCATTTTACAGATGGATAAGAGAAGCTAAGATTATCCAATCACAACATGATTCAAACCCAGGCTTTGGATTCTGAATTAAACATTTCTTTGTATTATGTCATAATGCCTCTCTAGCCACATTTTTTTTTTGGGGGGGCGCTAGGCAATGGGGTTAAGTGACTTGCCCAGGGTCACACAGCTAGTATGTGTTATGTGTCTGAGGCCGGATTTGAACTCAGGTCCTCCTGAATCCAGGGCCGGTGCTCTATCCACTGTGCCATCTAGCTGCCCCCTCTAGGCACATTTTTAAAACTATTTTTTTTTTGTCCTGATGTTTTCAAGGTTCTATGACATCCCTTAAAAATTCAGTATCTACTAAAAAATCACACGAAAAGGAATTTCTTCTCACCTGTGGTGAAGACCTCGGAGCTTACAGCTTTCAGTGAGCATCATTGTCACTTGAATTTCAGAAGCTTGGTCTAGAAAAAGAAAATAATTTTGAACAATAGTACTAGATACATAATTCAAATCCATTACTGTAATTTTCTTTGAAAATTAGAAAACACAGAAATGATTCAATTCAAAAATAAAATTTCAATAAACTTTAAAGGAAATTATTAAATCAAGTTTTATTTAAAACCCCATGACAATAATCAGGACTTGTCTAAACACTGAGATAATCACTAAATAAATTCATTCCACTAACTTTTATTTTATTTTTTGCTTCTGAGTTCACAGTTTCAGGTGCAAAATAAGCAAAATAATTTGGGAGCACAATGCACCTAATTTTAGTAGAACCTCTAAGATACTCATTCATAGGTATTACTGAATGGAAAAGAGGAATTTCAGTTGTATTGAAAAGAAAATTTCTGCCAAGTAAATTTTGTCTTTTTGTTAACTTCCATTATAAAATTAAAAAATACAATCCAATTAAAAACTATTGGTCCACTGACACACATTCAACACACACCTACACAAAACATTAACATCATATCTACAAAAAAGATAACTCAAAAATAATTATGTTCAAAATACCCTCATCTGTAAAACTGGGATAATGATAGTACCTACCTCTCAGAGTTGCTGTGAGGATAAAATAATATCTGTACAGTGTTTTGCTATTATTACTACTACTACTACTACTACTACTACTACTACTACTACTACTACTACTCTTCCTCCTCCTCCTCCTCCTACTACTACTACTATAGTCAAAATGAGAAACAGCAAGGCAGAAGATAAAGGGCTGGTCCAAGAGTTACTAAGACATGAGTTCAAGTCCTGCTTCTGTTGACACAAACTAGCTATGCCAAAACAGTTCCACACATTTAACCTATCAGTGCCTCAGACAATTCTCTTAAGACTCAAAGTAAGAGACAGTTAAGATCAGACACAGAGACTTTCACAATGGAAACCCCTCTCAAATGTCTGTTGGCATATGTGGTTTTTTCTTAAGTTGCTAATGCGTGATAACAAAATTTGCTGTGACTTTATTGACTATTCCGTTCTCTGCTTAATAACATAGGGTCAAAGAATTATAGATCTGGAACAAACCCCATAAATTATACATTCCAACTTTCACTTTACAGATGGGGTCATTGAAGAGAGACAGATGGGACTTAAATCCATTTTATACCATTATGCCTGCCTCTTTTCAACTGATGACTCAATTTCTCTGATAGCCATATCCTCATTTAGGGTTGTTAGATTTTAGTAAATGTGGTGAGTGAGAATAGTTGTTGGACACTGAATGAGAGAGTTTAGCTATAATACGATGATTTTCTTGGCACTCCAGAGTGTAGCAGAAACAGGTAAAAGACAAGGCACAAGATGTCAGCAAAAAGAATCCCGAACCTGAAGCTTAGGAGTAGGTTATTCTAAACAACAACAAAAAATTAAGTAATATCTGAAGCTCTATTTAGTGAATTTCTGTTAAGAAACTATACTTGGATTTAAAAGAAAAAAAAAGAGGGTAAAGGCAGAAGCGTGAAGAGGTTGTTGTAGTTTTTTCAAATCTCTGAGAAATATTTTTACCTTTTTATTAATGAAAATGTTCCTCTTTAAATACTGTAATCAGCAAAACTAAAAAAAAACTTTACTTCTAATTTATTAAGTATATATTTTGCTTATGGCATATTCTTGGAGTAAAGGGGGGTGGGAAGAGAATTAAAGTAATTACCTCATAGACTTATAAAATGTTGGACAAAGCTGGAAGAAACCTCAGAAATCAGAAAAGTAAGGCCCAGGGAAGCTAACTGACTTGTCCAGGCATACTCAAGTACCCAATAGCTGGGGTGGGACTAGAATAAAGATCTTCTGGGGCAGCTAGGTGGTGCAGTGCATAGAGCACTGGCCCTGAAGTCAGGAGGACCTGAGTTCAAATCTGGCCTCAGACAAAACACTCACTTACTAGCTGTGTGAGACCCTGGGCAAGTCACTTAACCCCAATTGCCTAAAAAAAAAATTAAAAAAAAAAAAGAATAAAGATCTTCTAACACCCAAGACAATACATATATACAAAATGGAGTAACAAAGACTAGGAGAGTCCTAATCCAATGGTTCTCAACCTTTCTTTGCTCATGGAAGAGCAAACACTAGGAAAACAAAGTACTCTTTGCTATAAGGAGGAATAGTGCATTGAATGCTAAGTTGGCAACACTGGAAGAGAATCAAGAGACTCCCACAGGTGCAGCGCCCTTTGCCAAGAGCAGCTATTTTCATTGAGATCTTTGCTAGTTCAAGGATTTTGAGGTTACTGCATATGTGTAAAAGGTAAATTTTATTTATTTTGTGAATACTATACTTACCATTCTATGTATGCTGGATGAGTAAAATTTATATTTATGTTAAATAAAAATTTATGATTTTTTTTCCTTTCATCTGCAATAATACCCCAAACTTTATAGCATACATGCTACATGCAGCACAATATCTGAGAAATTTGGTCCTAATCTCACCAAATTTACATTCTAATTGCACTGACATGAGTAAAATTATGAATTTATGAATAAAATTATAAAAAGCCAAATTCCAACCCTGCTAATCCAAAAAGCCAAAATAAGATAGTTCCTTCTGAAGTATTTTTTCTGAAGTATAAGGTACCAATAAAGACCATATATGGACAACACATGTGATTTCAAGGCAAGGACTCTTGTCAGCTCTACAAAGACTGATTCAAAAAGGGCTACTTAGAAAAGATAAAATCTCAGTAGCACTTAACTGAGTGACATCATATCTTCAATAACTTTAAGGAGAGTACACTGCAGTTTAGTCAATGCCCTTCTTCTTTGTCTGCTACAAAAACGACAACAATATTTTAGCTAAGGACTCACTGTGCTTTCGCTTGTTTCCTTCCAGTTAAGGAGGAACATTGTAATTTATAGGAGTAAGTCACAAAAAAGGAATGAGTGACTACTTTTCAAATACTCACGGAAATACAAATCTTATCTTAAGAAACAGTCCTAGTATCCACATTGTATTTTCTTATCAATATTATTTCCTTTTTCTCCCCTCCCCCTAGCTACTTCTGTAGAGAAATAAACTAAAATCAAAACCCATTCAGAACAAGCCAAGTGGCAGCAGAAGTTTTTTAGAGAATATCTACAAGTACCAAATGAAACGAGAAACTTTCTTTAAAAGTTGTCTAAAATAAAATCATTGTCTCAAAGTCTTACAAAATGATAGAGGTGAAAGGAATCTCAGAAATAATTAAATTTTAAAGTTACTTACAGAAGCATACACTGCTAGTCAGTAGCAGGGTTGAGATTAGAATTTAGGTCTCCTAACTTGTATTATAACATACTTTCTGCTATACTGCAGTGTTTTATTTTTGCCAAAAAACAACATAAATAGAATTATACATGAATGAGCTGTGGGTGTAGAGGTGAAGGATCTAGGTTGGAATGCTCCCTTTCTACCTACTAGCTGTAATTGACCAGGCACAATAATTGGGCATAAATGCTAAGCAGTTCCTGTAATGATTATAGTTGGTGTTACTTTTAAGTGAAAGGCTGACTGGGGATGAGAGGTGATAACTATAGTGTATAAGCTGTTTTAGGATATCTCTAAAGAGCACTGAAATTAGTGTCTTCCTTCTCCAAAGAGAAGAACAGTTCAAGTCTAAGAGCTATCATTTCATGGGGGGGTGAGGGGGGCCAGCCACTTCCTTAGTTCGAAAGTTCACAGAAAGCAGAGCTAGAAGGGCTATCACTCATTCACTAGCTTGTATAAGAAGGGGATTGATAACCTCCAGCGGGAAAAGAGGAGGGTAGAAGGAGATGAGGAAAGGCTTTGTAGAGAAGGTGGTGCTGGAGCTGTATTTTCTCCAGGACCCAGGTGCCACCTTGGGTCCAGTCCTCATCACCTCACACCTGCACTACTCTAATGGCCTTCTAATTAGGCTCCCTGCCTTACGTCTCTTCCCACTGCAACTCAGCCTCTATTCAGCTGCCAAAATGATTCTCCTGAAGCTCAAGTTTGACCACATTATCACCACCACCACCACCACCACCACTCACTACTTCATAAACTCTAGTGGCTCTCAATTACCTCTAGGATCTGATATAAAATTCCCTGTTTGGCACTGAAAAAAAAACCCTTCCCAAATTGGCTCCTTTGTACCTTTCCAGTCTTTCCTCCCCTCCACATCCATTATTATCATACAGCTATGCTGGCTCCTTGGCATTCTTCACACACAATACTCCATCTCCCAACTGTCTGAACAACAAGCCTAGAATACGCTCCCTCTCTCCCTCTGACTCCTGGCTGCCCATCTTCCTTCAAGACATCTCAAATCCCATCTTCTGTAGGAGGCTTTCCCTGTTCATCCTCCCCAACTCCCCTACTGCTGGTACCTTCTCTGTAGAAGTGCTTTCCATTTATACTGTATACATCTTTCATGTATACAGTTATTTGTATGTGTTTTCCACCACCCAGAACGTTAACTCCTTAGGGGAAGAGTCCACATTTCTTCCTTTCTTTGTCTCTCCAGGGCCAGTGCCTAGCACACAGTAAGTGCTTAATAGGTGCTTGATGACTGATAACCACTAAATCTGAGATGTCTCCAGGACAACAAGTTTGAAATGTCCAATAGGTAATGAATGGGTGATGTGGAACTGGAGCTAAGCAGAGAGACTGGGGCTAGATATACAGATTTGATAGCCACCTGCACAGAAATGAGAATTAGGTCCCAGGAGCAGATGAAGACACCCAGACAGAGAGTGGAGATAACAGAAGAGGACGCAACTCAGTGCCTTGGGGAACACCCATAGCTAAGAAGCATGTTAGAGAAGCCTAAGTAGTGGTCCACCAGGTAGTACAAGAGTCAGGGAGAGTACCATGAAAACCTGGAGAGAAGAGGAAGGTCTACTGTGTCAAATGCAACAAAGGGGTCGGGTAGGAAGGGGATGGAGAAAAAACAACCAGATTTGCTAAATGTGAGAGATATCACTGGTAACCTTGGATGAAGCTATTTCAGCTGTGTGATGAGTTCCAAATCCAGGAAGCAAAGGGCTGAAGAATCAACATAGAGGAAGTAAAGGCATCCAGTGCAAATGGCTTCTTCTAGGAGTTTGGATGAGAAAAGACACAGGACAATAGCTTGAGGGAAGGAGATGGGTGGATCTAATGAAGTGGGTTTTTTTGGAGAATTGTTTTTTTTTTAAAGGATGTGGGAAACGTGGGCATGTCTGAAGAGAGTAGGGAAGAAGCATGCATATAGTGAGTGGCTGAAGACTAGAGAAAGATGTGACCCTAAATACATAACCCTGGGCAAGTCACTAAACCACTGTGAGCCCCCAAGGTAAGTCTAAGACTAAGTTTTACAGCAGTTGTTTATTTGTACTAGTAGAAAGTGATCTCTACATTAATGAAATCATAGGTGTATACACACACACACACACACACACACACACACATTCTCTCTCTCTCTCTCTCTCTCTCTCTCTCTCTCTCTCTCTCTCTCTCTCTCTCTCTCTCTCTCTCTCTCTCTCTCTCTCTCTCTCTCTCTCTCTCTCTCTCATATACACACTTTATACCTGCATTGGTAACGGAAGTTTCCTAACCAGGAAATTCCTTATACAAGTGAAATCATAGGTATGATCCCTATTACTATCCTGTATATGTATATATATGTATATATATAAAGGCATATGTATGTGTGTGTCTAAGTACATATAACTAGAATAGGGAACGAACTGATCATTTCACTGTTACACGGAATTCTCAGGTGAAGAAAATCCCCTTACCAATGTAGGTCGGCAACTTCTTTGTAAATTACAATCTTAGAGAATTGATCAGAGCAGTGAGAGATTAAGGGCCTTGCTCAACGACTCCCCAGCCATGTGGGTGAGAGGTCACACTTGAACCCCAGTGTTCCTGACTCCGAAACCAGCTCTTTCCCTACTATGCTACGCTGCTTCTCTGCTGCATGTGTGAGAAGTAAGGTGTAAGCCCCAAAATAGTATAAGCAACTGTCACTACACCAGAGAAATTTATAATCTAGGTTAAAAAAATGATGCAGATATTACCACAACACTACACAATAAACCGCTAATTACACAAAACAGTAAATATACATGAAACAGTTCACAAAACAAAGAGCTCATTGTGGGATGGAGTTATCACAGGAGATTTCAAATAAAGGAGGGACTTATGATGGACTCTGAGAAATAAATAGAACATGTATAGTTGGGGAAAAAAAGGAAAATAGCATTCCAAAAATGAAAGTAACAGGAAGAAAGGCAGCAAACTGGAACATTTAGTTTTGTTAATCTTGAAGAATAACGCCAAAGAGAATGACCTGAAAAGCACATGATTCATGATTGGGAACTTTGGGAAATTAACTAAAATAGATCAGATGAAACCACATTATACAGGACCTAAAGCACTAGGAAAAAGTTTGGTCTTGAGCCTCTAGGCACTAGAGAACCAATGAAGAGCCATGAAAAAGGGAGCAACAAGACAAAAGCCCCATTTCATAGATGAAGAAGCTAAGACTCAGACAGCTTTAGTGATTATTTTTGTTTTCATATAGATTCTTTTTTTAAATTAATTTACTTTGAATTATCAACAATCACTTCCATAAACTTTTGAGTTTTAAATTTTTCTCCCCCTCCCTCCCCAAGACGGCGAACAATCTGATATAGGTTATACATATACATTCTTATTAAACATATTTTCACATCAGTGATGTTGTAAGAATTAGAACTAACAGAAGGAACCACCAGAAAGAGGAAACAAATCACTACAGAAGAAAAAAAAACAGCAAATAGTATGCTTCGATCTGCATTCAAATCCCACAGTTCTTTCTTTGGATGTGGATAGCATTTTCTGTCATGAGGCCTTTGGAGATGTCTTAGATCATTGTATTGCCGAGAAGGGTTAAGTCTATCAATATTAGTCCTTGCACAACGTTCTTCCGGTTCTGCTCACTTTACTTAGCATCAGACCATACAAGTCTTTCCAGGTTTTTCTGAAGTCAGCCTGTTCATCATTTCTTATAGTACAATAGTATTCCATTACATTCATATACCACAACCTGTTCAGCCATTCCCCAACTGATGGGCATCAGCTTTAGTGATTTGCCTAAGACCAGGTATTAAGTAAAAAGTGGGATTCAAGACCGTGACTAACTAAATGTCCAGTAGTCTCTTCATCATATCACATTTTCTCCTAAAGACAAATCCCCAAAATGTTCAGTTATTTCTTTAAATTATATTTAGGGATTATATTTATATTTATTTGCTAAATTATATTTAGCAAAATTTATTTCACAATTAAATGTGATTAATCCACAAAACTGGCCTTATATTATATGCACAGTAAAAAGTGCTAATTATTTTTTCCAAAACAAGAATGTCCTTGTGATACCTGAAGAAGTCAAACAACAAATATAGAGTACAGTGAAAAACAGCATATATTTCAATTTCATTCCAAAACTGGCCAAGAGAAACATTAATTAAAAATTATTTAACTATTCCATAAATAAGGTTTAAAAAATAACAAATGAAAACAAAATTCTGAAATTTAAAGGGTCATCGTAAATTTGCAAGTTTTGGTGAAGAAGACACATGTAAATAAAGTTGCACTAAAATCCTGATTTTTTTTTCAGATGAACAAAATCTATCAACTAGTAAGTAAAAAAGAAAAAAAAACCTGGAATCATATATCAAAAGATGGTGCAAAAAAGATCTTAACTAAAGAAAAATGTCATCAAAGTTAACTTGTCTTATTCATAACCTAGCTTGTATTTATTTGGAATGGGATAAAATAGTTACTCTGGGATCTAATACCTAAGGATAGAATTTCAGCTTCAAAGATAGTCACTGACTGTCACAAAACTGGATCATGTAACAATGGACTTAATTTGTGCAAAATTTAGTTTGTCACTGGCAAAATGATCCATAATGGATTTTAAACATTTCGGTATATCAGTCCATTTTTTCACTTTTTATTTCTAAAAAGAATGATCTAATATCTGAAAGAACTGAATCTCCTCACGATCAATGGTTAAGAATGCCAAAGATCTTTATACAAGTTAACTATGTGAGTGAACCACCTATCTAAGTCATCCAATGATGCTTACATTTTTCCTAAGTAAGGAATATTGTTAGTACCCTGTGAAAAATCCTACCTTTAACAGTTTTCACGAATGCTTGTTTTTCTTTGTTGGGATCTTTATCGTCTATTAAAATTCCATGGAAAATACGCCCAAAGGTTCCTAAAAGGAAGAATATTTGAGATGACGTAATACGGCAAGTGAAAAAAAATGTCAATTTAAAAACCTTCATATTCAGTGGTAACTTTAAAACATACAGAAAAGTAGTAAATGTGGTCAACAAAATAGGGCTACAGGAAGTTAAACAGATTTTCCAGTTAGAATTTGATGATTTGTGCTGAGTATCCTAATAAAGGGGTTATGCTGACAGTAGACAAACTATGAAATGATCAGTTAATCAAAATTTACTAAGTACCTACTATGTGCTAATAAGCACTGAAGATAATAAAAGAAAAAATATCCCTGATCTCACAGTGTAATGAGGAAGACAACATGCAAACAACTGTGTACCAACAAGATACATAGAGGATAAAATGGAGATAATCTAAGAAGGAAGGCACTAAGATAAAGAAGGACTACTGGGAAAGGCTTTTTGCAGAAGGCAGGACTTTAGTTAAGACTTTAAGGAAGCCAAAGAAAGAAGAAGGTGGAGATGAGGAGGGACAGAGTTCCAAGCATGAGGGGAAAGTCAGTGAAAATACACAGTTCAGAAGTGTTGCATGCAGAGAGACCAGTGTCATGGGATTGCAGAGGGAAGTAGGGTGCAAAAAGACTGGAAAGGTAGAAAAGGACCTCATAACCTTTTGGGGGTTACAAAAAGCTTTAAAATCCAGAGGGTTTTATATTTGATTATGGAACTTACAGGTAGCCAAAGGCCTTTACTTAATAGGGGAAGAAGTAAATTAGACTTATGCTTAAGATCACTTTGACAGCTGAGTAGAGAATGGACTGGAACAGAAGACAATGCTTTGTTAATTTCAACTTCTAAGTTAAATGGATGTTGGGGAGGAGAAGGGTAAGACAGTTGAATTATCCCTTATCTAAAATAATAAATTTCTGATACAACTACAATTCAATGTTCTCAAAAATGCTAAATCTAGATTCTGAAAAAGCTGGTCTTCAGAAAAGGTACTCTTCAACCTAGAATTTGTGATTTCTGGGCTTAATCCGGAATTACTATGAAAAGTGTACTGATTGCACTGGTACTTGTCTCCCTCTTCTGGAAGCTGGAGAGAACTGATTCCTCATTTTCTCTTGTCCTGGTACCCATCTCTCAATATCAATCCCCCATCCATTGCAGCCTAGCCTGAGCTTGACCCTTCAGGCCAGAGCAACTAGTAAAGGTAACTCCCTAGATTCTGGCCCCATTTCCTCATCATTTAATTCTGAAAACCAAGAAGAAAATCTCAATGCAAAAAAGGGAAGCAGTGGACAATCTTCCCTTTCTCTATCCAATCAACACAACTGAGTTTGAATCCTGCTTCAGACACTTACTAGCTATGTGGCCATAAGCAAGTCACTTACCCAACCTGTTTCTCTCATCAGTAAAATGTAGATAATAGTACCTATACTTCACATGATTGTCATAAGGATCACATGATATAATACATATAAAGCACTTTGCAAAGATATTATTATTCAACATGCCCCTTAATCAAAAAACTGGCTACCAAGTCTCTATTCTTCCATTAATAGCCTCTTTTGACAGAAACAGAGAACCGACTTGTTACAGAAATTTAGAGCAGCTTAAGTGCCTAGATAAGCAATAGCTTTACAAGCTGAAACCCCAAATTGATAGGAAAAAACAAAACCCCAAACTGACCATAGTTCACCCTTCATTCCCAATTAGTTTATGAGCTTACAAGTTAAAACCTAACTCCTGGTCTAATGACTACACAACAGAAAGAAAACAAGCCTTCCTGAAGCACCCTTTGATTTTTTAAGTTCCTTCTGTGAGATTTTCAACATTCTATTCTCCAACACAATGGAAAAATTACTTTGAGAAGGTAATTAAATAATAAGATAGTTTAACCATCCCAAACTATGTATTACGTGATCTTAAGGGATACAAAAAAAGTACATGTAACACTTTTGCAGGAAAAAAGTCTTTGTCTTGTATGATAATATGAAGATCAAAGCCATTTCTTCTGTGTTTATCCTAACACTGATATGAAAATATTAAATGTTTAATGACTAAGATATTTAAATACTGATTTTAGAATAATAGCATATTTAAAATATATAACTTAAAAACTGATTTTGAGAGGATACATACCTTCTTGGAGAACATCTTTTAGTGTTATTCTCTCCCTGGAAATTGCTATATCTTTGACCTTTGCTTTGGCCTCCATAAGAGTGACACTTTTTAGGTCATTCTTCTCTATCCGTAATGTAGGATAACCTGAGGAGCCAACAAAGCCAAACAAAAATAATATAAATACCCTTATAACAAGAATTAGAGACCATCATTTTCCATAATTACCTACATAAAATAATTAATACTCAAAGAACAGATATAGAAACAATAAAAGGAAAAAAGGTTAAGATTCTTTCTCCTGAAAACAAACTGAAGATTCTAGGCAAAGAATTCTTTCCCCACATCCATTATGCAGTAATCAGATGCAGACAGCAATATATTATTAAAATCAGTGCTATTCTGATTGTATATACATGTGTGTTACTACAAGCAAAGCAATACCTGTTTCACAGATTATCAACTGTATTACCTGAAAACCACAGGGAAAATGATGACCTCTTCTGGCCAGATTTTTGCAAATTTGAAAAACAGCCCCTATAAGAAATTATCTAATTCTTCCCCAAAAGGATGATTTTATTACAATATGTCTTTTCTAACAAGTTAGGTGACCACTTAAATATTTTAATCTTCTAACTTCATGCCATGCTGAGGTATTTAAATTAGTTTTAACATCCCCTCATTTTTACCAGAAAGAAAATGAAATTAAATTTATAAAAGCTGAGTAAAATTATTCACTCAGAGAAACAGTGTTGCTAAGCAGACTGAAAGCAAGAAGGAGATGGAGAAGGAGAAGAAGAAGAATGGTATTCTTTGGTAGTTTGGAAATTGGGAAACAAGAAGGAAGGCAGAAGGGCTAAGAATACAATTTCCCAAAAGTTACAAAATAAGGAGGAATAATTACTGGTTAGCAGTTTAATAGATGTGCTAATTTACCTACATCATAGGATTGTTATAAGGAAAGCTTAAAAGGGCTATAGAAAGTGCTATGATTATTATGATTAATGCTTCTCGAATCACCACCTAATAAAGAACAAAAGCAGTTTTTGAGGGATAGTCTTTAAAGACAACTGTCCTCACTCTTTTAGAAATGTTTTATTATGAACTTGAGTACTAAAAAAAATGAGCATTTCCATAAAGCAGAACATAAAGGAAGATTACATATGACACCGTGAATTTCCATTTCACACTGAATATGCTACTTATGGAATTAGGTAAAACAAAGGGCAGTCAGTTCTGTAAGATATTAGCAATATGGCAGTAGTTGCTCCAATGTACTTTGGGAGTAACATGCTTGAGATCAATTACTAGCTCAAAGAATCAGTTACCACACAATCAAACACATTTCTTAGGAAATCTGTCAAATGACAATATAAAGGTGTTTTAAATATTATTGTGGGATTTGGTTGAAGAGTACAACGACATTATTGAAAAACACTACTGGTCAGGACATTATGTGAGGTATAAATAAACTGCATTTGATGATACTTTAATCAAAATTCAAAGTTTCTTACTTTTAGAAAGCATGCTGAATTTATTTTTCCTTAAATAATTAGCAAATTCATAATTCCTCAATTTGAATGGGAAAATAATCCAGGTGCATTTGCAGAAGGTTGAATCTCTAGAAATTCCCCCAAACTAAAAAATGATTAAAGACAGTCTACTTAATATATTTAAATTCACCAATTTTTAAAAAGTCACAATTTCTACTGATCTAACAACTGGAAGTCAAATCTTGAACATCAACGTTAAGTTTCACATATGCATGTGACACTAACCACTTAGGATCACTAGTAGCCTAAAAACCAAGACTAAAGTAAACTGGTTTTAGATTTAAATTAACTCTTACTGGTAACAGGTGTTGCATTGTTAGGAGTATCAGCTCTCAGGTACTGAGTTGTCTGCGTAGATGGCTGGGATAAACCTTGTGAACTACTGCTGTCACTGATGCTGAAAATAATTTGAGATAGAAAGTCAACTCATGAGGAATTTTTACTTCTTTTTTATTTATAACATATGTATGTGTACATATACATACACATATACATATACATTTATGTATACATACATATACATATTCCTAAGTTTTCTTGACCCCAAGACCATTTCTTTATCCACTATTCCATAACTGCCTCTTGCTCCTATTGTTACACGTAACAAGATACTAAAAGCTACATGTAGATGAGCAGTTATGATAATAAAATTATTCTAAAATCTTGGAGATCATAATAATGACTATTTCTTCATAATGACATGTTTCAAGCTGAAATCAGAATGTGTTGAGATTATATACTTTTTCTTTTCTGATATATGGCCATTATTAGAACAAAATGTTAGAGTAAGAAATTAATAATGATTAGAATGATTATCTCTAGGAAAATTAAAACTATGCCACTTTTATTAGATTACTTTTAATAAGGGGTATATAAAATTAAACATGTAAAAGAGAAAAAAAGATAGCCTAAAAGCACAGGAGATTGTGGAGACTGCAAAACAACTAAGCAATGAATACATAAAATACACTTATATCCTATACACCTATAGAACCTACAGTAGACTGCATCAACTCTGCCTCATGATCCTTCAATTTCTAAAATGGATAAAATTTGGGTTTCTTGAAACATGTGCTTGGGAGGGTGGGCTATAATATTTGTTATATTATATTATATTATTATAATATTCTCTTCTTCTATGAGCAATACAAGAATCATACAAAGAAAGAGACTCTATGTTCAACCCATGTTCAAAATTGCTGTAATAAAGCAGTTTTCATATTTGTATCCCTATGGGCCACTTCAGTGAATCACACAATCACTATGGGGAAAATATTCTCTGAAGTACTGCTCTTCAACCAGCTATATTCTCTTAGTCATTTTGTAGTGTAGAGAGGAAAGCAAGGGATGAGGAATTAAGGATTATCTATCAGATCAAAGTATTATCACTTGCTTCTTTCCTTCTTATGGTAGTATCCTTCACGTTGCTCCTGAGCTAAAAGAAAGTTTATGAAAACTACTGAAAAAAACCTCTAAATGAACCTGTTTTTTGTCTCTCCTTCTCTCCAATCCATTTGTTCTGTAACGGCCACATATGTCTGCTCAAACCTTAAATGGCTCTCTACTGTCTGTTCATTAAAGAACAAATATCGTTACCGGCCAGTAAATATACTCCACAATCTGCCTCCAATCTACTCCCTATTTCCATCTACTTCCTAAATATATCTCTAGCCAAACTTAGTAACGTCACTTTATTCCTTGAATACATCTTGTACTTAACCACTTGCATTCATTGGTCTGTCCACCTGTCAAAATTCTATTATCCTTTAAAATCTAATACAAATGCAATATCCTCCAGGGTGGAGAATGACCTTGGCTTGAAATGAAGTCTCCTCTTTTCTAACTCTTATAGCACTTTATACCTCTCTGAGTACTTCCCCAACTAAATGGTAAGAAGCTCCTTGAGGACAAGAATCATCTTATTCATCTTTTTAGTACCCAACATAGCCTAACACACTCTATGTACCTACTTTATAGTCAAGGTAGCAAATGCAGTTATACACACCTCCCCTAATTAGGTCATGTTTTATGGGCCAAGAAGCTTTTCCAGATTTCCGAGCACAATCAAAATACTGAATGTATTAGCCAGATCTCAAGGATAATTCACTTTCATCTTTAGAGACCAGCACACAGAGTATGTCAAAGAATAACTTCTGTCCTCATAAAGATCTCTAAAAATGTCTTATGTTCCCTTCATCCCTTTGAGCTAAACTTACTTACAAAATCCTCAGGATTCTCTTAAGATTTTAATGCAATGAAAACCCTACCATGGCACTATTCAGTCCTGTGTGGTTACGTACTTTCCTTTTATACCCTCAAAGATGCCTCTTCTGTGCATTCTCTCAATTACAATGAATTTTTTATCCTTCGTTGTTCTCTCCTATTCTCATTCCATTCTCTTCTTTCCCCTCTTGAAGTGATAGGAAGAAAAAAAAATCAACTGAAACAACATTTTGAAGAGAAGAGCTGTATATAATCAAATCCCTCATACTTCATCCACAATCATCTCAGAATACTTGTAACAGTTAATAAAATAAACACAAGGGCAGTATCTACAAAATGCTTCTTTATGTGGCTAAAGATTAATTTGTTCTCCCAACTTCCCCCATTTGTTCTTCTCTGGGTACAAGTAATAAGGAAGCAATTTTTAAAAATTATATACAGTACCTGTCATCCAGCTCAATTCTTTTCATACTATGGAGGTGCAAAACAGCTAATATTATTGCTACCAGAAATATTACTGCACAGCAAACCCCTACACTGATATAAAACACACGAGTAGAAGTGGTAGGAGCTGCATTTACAGGATCATCTGAAATTTAAAAAAAAAAAAAGGGGGAGATTATCAGTATAACATATATGTGAGTTCTTTTAAAGTACATTTTTAACAAATAGAAAAATTTCACATTAGTCGAAGTTTATAGTAAATCAGTTACTAGTATAAAGTCACACAAATAATATATAGTGGGAAAGAAAAGTATTTATTCTTTGAAAAATACTTTTAGTAGGAATTCTGGTAGAAAAATATAAAAATAATTCACCCAACTTTGGAGAAATAGCCAATGTTGAAGAGGCTGTGAGAAAATAAGCCTGCCAATACAGTATTAATGAACTGTTAATTCTAGAAAATAATTTGGAATTTTGCAAGAAAATTCACTAAAATTATTCATACCTTTTAATACAACAATTCCACCATTAAACATGTATTGTAAAGAGTTCAAAGACATAGAGGAAAAAAAGGTCCTACATATGCCAAAATATCATAACAACACTTTTGTAACAGGAAAAACTAGAAACCAAAGTAGGTACCTATCAACTGGACAATGACTGCAAAAACTGTGATATATGAATGTAACGAAACATTATAGCACCATAAAAGAATTACAAATATAAGGAATTAGGAGAAATATGGGAAGACTAATATGAACTAAAGCAGAATAAACAGAACCAGAAGGACAAATACAATGACACAAATCAGCAACCAAACAGATTACAGTAACTAATCTTCATCCTAGTTAACACAGTATTATTCTCTTTCACACTCTCAGTGGCTGCTTTTTCAAATCTTCTCTCCCCTCAAGACTCCCATACCACCTCTTCATTCCTCTCAGCAGAGAACCTACCCTCCACTGTCTAATTTACTGAGAAAATATGAGCCATACATTTTGTGTATGCTCTGATTTATATTCTAAACTTCAAATCCTATCTTCATCCATCCTCCATTCTGTCCTCATTTATACCAGTCTCTGACAGAGTTTGCCTTCCCCCTTGCCAAGGCCAGTCACATTAGTTTTTTAAAAAGCTGTCATATAATAACTGCCTTTTATCATCTTTGCTAATTTGATAAATAATTTTTATATTCACCTTGTAGAAATATTTTTTCAAAGAGTGAATTCTCTCCTTTCTCATAAGTATTTTTATAAATACAAGACACCACCTCACTTCGTTTCTAATGGAAACTTGCACCTAACATCCCCTTTGTCCCTCTCATGTGCAACCTTTACTTATTTCCTTATTCCTTCTCTGATGCTTACAAACATGTTCAAATCTCCTTATTGAAAAAAAAACTTCACTTGACAGTTCAAGTTGTATCTTTCCTCTCTTCACAGACTCCTAGAAAAAGCTATCTACATACTTGTCTTCATTTTCTTCCCTGTTGCTTACTTTTCAACCCTAGCAATATGATTTCTTATTACACCACTCCACTGAAATTGTTTTGTCCAAAGTTACCAAGAATCATTTAATTGCTAAATCAGATAGACTTTCCCAAACCTCTCTGAAGATACTTTTTTTCCCCTGGTTTGCCTCCTACTTTGTCTGATAATTCTTCAAATGTCTTTGCTGGATCAATATCCATTTGATATCCCATAACTATAATTATTCCCTAAGGCTGTCCTGGACCCACTTCTCTTCTTTCTCTGCATCTTTCTCTTTGTGAACTCATCATCTCCCTCTGGTTCAACTATCATTTCTATGTAGACGATTTTTAAATTTGTATAATATCCAGCTTTCACCACTATCTGGATATCTCTCATATAGGCATCTCAAACCTGACATATCAAATTTTTTTAAAAATTCATAATCTTGTCCCCAAACCCTACTCCACTTACTTTAAATTTCCCTGTTTCTGTTGAGGGTACTACCACTTTTGCAGGTTCACAAGCTCAGTCATTCTCAATTCTTAACTCTTCTTCACTGCCATATCCTACCAGTTGCCAAGTGCTTTCAAATATACATCCACTACATCTGCTCTATCAGTCCCCTTTTCATGGCCATCACCCCTAGTTCACATGCTTCTCACCTGACTACTTAGACAGGTTTCTAATTGATTTCCCTGATTCCACTCTCTTATTTCTCCAACTCAATCTCTTCACTGCTGCCAAAACAGTTTTCCACAAGCACAGGCATCACTGTAGCACCACCATCCTCTACAATTGACTCTGAGCAGTCCTATAGCCTCCTTGAGCCCCATCTTCCTCATTTGTAAAATGAGGGGGCTCTGCTAGATGACATCTAAATTCCCTTCCAGTTACAGATGTATGCTCTTATGTCTTAAGTTTCAGAGGCTCCCTACTACCTTTAGGACAAAACAAAAACTCTGGTATTTCAGCTTACCTTTCCAAAAATATTTCACACTCTTCCTTCCACTCCAGTCAAACTGGCTTTCTAGCTATTACCAGAACTCATTAATTCAACTTTTGCCTCTAGACCTTCACAAAAGAAATTCTTGAAAAATCCTTTCTTTCTCAGCTCTCCCTCTCACAATCTCTGTTTTCTTTCAGGGTTCAAATCCCTCTACTGCCACCTCTGATAAGGTTGTCCTGATCTCCCTGGCTGTCAGTGTCTCTTCCTTCACATTACCATGCAATCATCTTGTACAGTACTTACTTATCAGTTTACATGGCATACTCTCTAGTAAAATGTAAGCTCTTAAATGGTTTGTACCGTTTCTCATTTTTGCCTTCATATTCCCAGTGCACAGTGTAAGAACTGCACAGTGTAGGAATTTAATAAATGTTGACTGATTTAATTTCAAACTAAAGACCATATTTAAACCACTGCTCACAGATTCTCAACTCTTGGCTAACATGTAAGGATGGCTAGCTATTTTTTATATCATACTCTAGTTAGATAATTAGAATGAAATTTTTAACTAATTTGCTACTTGTGAAACATAACTGTGGATGGGTTTAATTATCATCTCCATGCAGATGACTCACAAATCTATACATCCAGACCCAGTCTCTCTCCTAAGCTTCAGTACCATATAACAAGTTACCTATTTGTCATTTCAAACTAGATGGTGCATAGACATCTTAAACTCTTGGATACTCTTTTGTCTCTTAAATTTTTTTGACACTACTCTTTCCTGGTTCTCCTCCTCCAAGTTTAACGGTTCCTTATCTCCACTGCTGGCTTGTCATCTATATGACTCCTTAACTTAAGATTGTTCCTTAAGGTGCTGTCCTAGGCCCTCTTCTCTTGTCTCCTCTCTCTTTTGGTAATCTCATTATATCCAATAAGTTTACCATCATCATTATGCAGAGGAATCAGAGATTTCTAGATGGAGATCTAGATATGCTAGTACCTTTAATAGAAATAAGGAATATGAGAATAGAGGAAAGATTGCAGAGAAAGATGATAAATAAAATTTTGGACATGTTGAGTTTAAGAGATGTTCCCGGAGCAACCAGTATGAAATGTCCAATAGACAATTGGTAATGTATGACTAAAACTCAGGGAAGATATTGGGGTTAGTTGGAAACAGAAAGAAAGATAGCTAGTTGTGTTACATACATACACAGACACAGAGTACATATATATGTGGACCAAATACATACAACTATATGTATGTATGTATGTATATGTGTGTGTGTGTGTGTGTGTGTATGTATATACATTTGGATATATCACAACTAGGAGAAACCCTTCTTCCCTAAATAGATAGTATTTAACTATTTTGCATTTATTCTGAATTTATTTCATGTGTTGTCTCCCCTGATATAACATAAATTCCTTAAAAGCAGGAACTGTTTCATTTTTTGTATTAATATCCACAGTGCCTGAAACACAGAAGATTTTTAATAAATGCTTGTTAATTGATTGAGGATCAGGTTCTGGTAATCATATTATTAAATACATACAATATTTATTATACAAAATATCCAAAACATGAATGTCCAGAATATCCAGAATACTTTTGAATAATAAAATATCCAAAATGCAAAATAAATAACATTAATTTTGATTTTGATTTGCTTAAGACCAAGGAAGCAACTGAACTGAAACCAATATAAATTATTACCATTTTACATTCCCATATTAACAGTTTTTATAGCTATATAGGAACTGGTTATTCATACAAAATCTCCATGTTTTATTTCCCCAAATGATTTTTAAAAACCTGTGATGGTGTACTTACAAATAGTTCTGTTGCCATTTTTGTCAGAAGTTGGAGCTTTGATTTCTTCAAGCTCTGATTGAAAAATGTGATAAAAGATATTTTAGAACTCAAGCTTCTTTCTAGAAAATTCTTAAATACACTAATTTTCTGTTTTGCAACAGAATGTATTCTCTTAGAACAAAAAAGGAAGGTCTTTGTTATAAGACAGGCAAAATTAAATTAATACTTTGTTTATACTTGTTTTGAATTTAATAAGTTTTTAAATAGCCAATTATGTCTTCTCACCAAGAAATTGGCCATGCCACCTAAGAAAAATGCTTACATAACTGAAATTTGACTAGCTTTAGTGTCATAGATTTTTAGACCTGGAATGGCTCCTTGGCATATTCTAATCCAATTCACTGATTTTCCAGATGAGGAACCTGAGGCCTGGAGAAGTGAGGTTGCCCAAACTCATAGACCTAGTAAATGGTAAAGCTACAAACAGAACAACTGCGTTGTATTAGACTGTGTACTGTGTGTGACATTCATTTTTTTCCCATCTTTATTCCCACTCTCTAGAAATGCTAAGCTGTAATAAAATAAATAATAAAATGAAGGAATTGCTCCAGTATAAGAAATAAGACAAAAAAGGTCAAGATAAACAAAGTGGATTTTAAAATCTCTAATAATCCACTATTGGCTATGAAACCTAAACTGTAAAAGAAAATATAACTTAATTTACTCAATTACAAAAATAGTAATGGGCAGGAATGATTTCCACTGTGGTAAATGAGCATGAAGATACTAGTATGGAAGTGTTATAAGATCTTTATATGCATTATCTCATTTGATCATCTGAACTTCACAATCCAGTGAGATAAGTATTATTATTCCCATTTTACAAATAAGGAAACTGATGATGCTGCAAGAAATTAAGTGACTTGCCTATGGTCACAAAGCTAATAACTGTTTAGAAGAGGATCTGAATCTTCTTGATTCTAACTAACACTTTATTCTCTACATTACACAAAATAAATTTAATAAAATGAATAATGGCTAGATGTATATTGCTACATATGTACATAATTATTACTGAAATGTTATTTAAGTGTTCTAAGTCAGTACAATAAAATTGGGTTTTTTTTAAAGAAAAGGTATCACTATTGAATTTATCCAGTTACTTTAAAAATTACAAATATATTAAATTTGACATCTTTAATAAATCTAAAATATATATGATACTAGACATAATAACTGGATAATTACCTGTCATGTTTTGGGAAATGGTTGGCCAGAAACACAAGCCCTAGCCAATGTTCACATTAAAGACAGATTCCTTTCCACATCAATTTGGTGCTTAGATAGTAGTTTAGGTTAATACTGAAATACCTAGCTGAATACTTTACTCTATTCCTGACTTAAGCTATTATTATCCCTCTATCTGGCAGAACAATCACATGTTGAATCTTTAAGTACAACAATGTCCCCTATATAACCAGAGATGATATTTCTTGGTTACATGTTAACTCTTTTGGTAAGAGATTTTCTGGAAAAAGGAACTGATGTTCTTAGCTAATATACAATTTGGGGATTATCTCTGGATTTACTTTATAAGTCTTTTCTCATCTGCAAAATATAATCAAATGTTCACTCTAATATCTGTAAATGAATCACAAAAATCTTATGAATCCTTCTTTGCATAGAAAAAAGTACTCACACCTATGTAAAAAACTCATTTTCAAAGTTGGATGCCTTACTTTTATAGCACATTTTCCTTCGTTTGAAATTTAAGACTGTAAAATTTTTTGAAGAATTTATTGTCAGGTTCAGTTGCATTAGTACCATTATCTCAGAATCTACTTTTCCAGTGCAGGAAAGTTCAACGCGAAATACTGTTTAAAAAAAAAAACACACACACATAAAGTTGAGTCACATAAATGATTAAAAAAAAATCAAAGTTAAAGATGATACTTTAATAATTAGAAAAATGTATTGCAAAATGTCATTATTAAAAATGAATAATTTAAAACTGACTAAATAGATTTGAAAGTAATTTTGAGATGCACATGTAAAAGCAACACACAAATATAGAGAAATTTATTTTATCAACAAGCATATATTAAACACCTATGAGGCAGACACTGAGGTCAGAAAAATAAGGACAAAATTATCCTCACCTTCAAGGAGTTCACATTCTTTCGAGGGAAAGCATCAATTAAAAATCAACATGAATTTATTAAGTGCCTACTATGCTAGGTGCTGGGGTATAAAAATTCAAAGAATGAAATAATCCCTACCATCAAAGAGTTCATGTGCTAATGGGGAGACCTCACCCATATATGTAAATTAATATAGCATGAATATAATGTAAATAAATATATAAACATAAAGTGAAACAAATACTAAACATAAAGTGAATAAATATCTACAAAATCATTACATACAAGGTAGTTTGGGATGGAAGGAATTAGCAGTTGGAGGACGGGAAATCAGGAAAGGATTCATGTAGAAGATAGTGCTTGAGCTGCATTTTAAAGGAAGAGAGGAATTCCATGAGGTAGAAGTAAGGAAGGAGGGCATTTCAGTTATATGAGACAGCTGTGCAAAAGTCCACAGACCAGAGACAGAGTGTGAGGAGAAGAGAGAAGGCCAGTCTGGTTGTGGCATAGAGTGCAAGAGGAAGATTAATGTCCAGAGAGACTGAGAAGACATGTTGGGGCCAACATGTGTAAGGCTTTCAAAGCTAAACAGAAGAGTTTATAATTTAGTCTAGAAGCATCAGGAGCTACTGGAGTTGATTGAGTAGGGGAGTCATATGATCAGACTAGCACTTAAAGTAAAATTATTTGGCAGCAGTGTGGAAGATGGACTTGAGACAGTCTGGGCAAAAGGTGACAAAGGCCTGAAGTAAGATGGTATTTGTCCTTGTTGAGTGCAGAGAAGAGGTAAGATGAGAGAGAAACTGCAAACATAGAAACAAGTTTTGATTGTTTAGGTGCGATGTGGCAAAGTGTGGAGTCCAGGAAAATATCAAGGTTACAGCACATACAAAGATAGTTGAATATCAAAGCAAACATAAAATAAATACAAAATAAATGCAAAACATTTTCAGGTGGTGAGGGATCTAGCAACTGGGGCTTGGGGAGGAGAGAACAGGACAAATGCAAAATTTGGGGGCTAGTAATGCTATTCAGAAATTGTCACATTCAACACTATCCTTTGTAAAGATGGTAGAATAATTTTTCTTTTTTTGTAGGTGAATAAACTCAGGCTTAGGAAGACTCATAAAAAAGGATCTATCTGAAGAGCTTTTATCTAATAGCCATTGTATATGCATAGAAAAACTTTCATTTACACTTTATGGGAATAGTAGCTTATTATAGGACTGCTTGAGATCTAGTCCTATCCCATAATGTGTTAATTTTAATGTTCTTTTTGAAATTTGGGGGAAGTAAATGGAACCACAAATTCCTGGATCCAGCCCTGAAATTTCTATGCTTCTATTCATTCATTCCTCAGTAATTAAAATATCTTCTTAATTAAATAAAAACAGGCATAATACTACCACCCTAGATTAAAAAAAAAATTACTCACCTGATAAAGTGCGTGGGACTTCCCCTTGAATAGAAATGTTGACCTGGGGCATGTCCATAGCCACAGGATTGTCTATCTGGAATCCCAGTTTATATTCAACCTAAAAGAGAGACAGAATATAGAAATAGTCTAAGTGATAAAGTATGAGACATTAATACTCCAAATTTATTTTACTTGGGAAATGAATTAATCATTTATTCATGCAAACTAAAACAGCAAAAAAGATAAGCCAGTGTTAAAAATTTAGCTAAATGAACAACTATTGTATGCTGTGTTGATGAAATGTTTATTTTGTTACAATATAATATACAGTAAAACCTCAATTATACAAGACTCAGAAAAATAGCAACTTCAATTATCTGATACTACAATAAAGAAGTCCCAGAAGAGCAAACACAGAAAAGAACAGCCAAAAAGGATGTGATGGGATTTACTGATTCACTGACAAAAAGAAATGCTCATTGGTTCAGCAAGGCTAGTAAAGACTCAAATTAATGCATTCTCCAAAGTAAAAGGAGGTATGTGGAGAGGGATTGGGGTAGGACTCTCGGGAATGAAAGAAGAAAGCATTTATAATAATATAATAATAAAAACCAATAAAATATATTTTATTTTAAATAATATATTTTAAAATAATAATAATAATAAATATTTTTAAGTGCCCTGCATTCAAGGCACTATGCTAAGCATAGACAAGTAGGACAGTCCATATTCTCAAGGAGCTCACATTCTAATGGCGGACATAACACATAGGGAAGGTTTTAGCTCCAAGTCAGATGGAAACATCCCATGATCCTTAGTGGCAGCAGCAAAGCAGACAGTAATGGCTCTCCTTTAATGTCATTTCCATTTCTATTTCTGATGCTGAACCATTTAACAACGTCAAAGACTTTGGTGCCAAGAACTTTCTTTCCTCGGTCTTCAGTTGCTGTGGTTAGCACCTTCAGGAGCAATTGCCAGGCTGCATCTTCTCAGGGACAGCTTCTCAGGATGATGGCTGCAGACAATGGGCTGGAAGCATAACTGTTCCCAAGGCTCTTGGGCTCAGGTTCCTGACATGTCTGCACTGGAGTCTAAGGGGAGATGGTGTCAGTATGGCAGTAGATGTGGTCTGATGTGCTTAGCATATGCTGCCCCCTGTGTCTGCCTTTTGATCTTGCTGCTTCCATTAGGCTGGCTTGCCTGTCCTGTAGGTAGCAGCTGTAGGTTGGCAGTTAGGGATGGCTGGTCCCTTTTCTACAGGAACTGCTTAGTGATTTCTCTCCTCAATGGCTGTGGGCAGGAAGTCTGGTGGTTGTGGAGCACTGCTATTCCCAAGGCTTTTGGGTTCAGGGTTCTGGGTTATCTCCATCCGGGTCTGAGGGGAGACGGTGGTAGTGGTGGTTTGATGCTTCCTCCTGTGTCTCCTTCAGAGTGCCTTGTTTCTTCAGCTAAAATAGCTTGCAGTCAACAATATAAATGATGTAGAAGACTGAGTTACATCTATCAAGAAGATCATTGCAGCTGGTTACTGATGATGAAATAGGAACATAGTCTTAAATATTAAAAAACCAATATGCATTAATAATGACTTAGGGGCAGACCTGAGGAGAGGCTTCCACAAGTATGTATGTCAATTAGTATCAGAAAAAGAGTATGAGAATTCCAGCCATGATGGCTGCCTGAAAGGAAGCAGACAGCCTAAATCCTACATATATACTCTAGCCAAAATAATATAAAAAATGAAACAGACTGAATAATGACCAAAAAGTCAATGAGAAACTAAGTGGCTCCTTCCACCTCAGAACTTCATTAAAAAAAAGTTAGCCAGAAACCCACAAGCAATAGGAAAGGGGCTTCCACCAACAAGCCAGAACCAGAAGAGGCAAACAAGCTTGTAGCTGGCAGGAAGGCAGGAAGGTGGCAGAAGGAAGGCAGAAGGAAGGCAGGAAGAAAAAAATAGGCCAGGGGAATGGAACCAAAATGACAGAGAGAAGCCAGGAAGTTGCTGAGTTTCCCTGTTTCCCTGAGCCCCAGTTTCCCTCAGAAACAATGTTAAATCAAGCCTCTAAACGAATTCTGGAGTGACAAAATCCACAAAAACATGGAGTGAAACAATTTTCCAGCCCAAATAACTTAGAAGGACTTCAGGGAAGTTCTTGGCTAAAAGGGTAGTGCAGCCCAGCACAGGCAAGGTCCAGGCAAGTCAGCAGGAGGCTCTTAGCCACAGCACAGCAACTAAGGTCCTGTGGTCTGACCTTAGCAGGCCAGTTGTGAAGCCTCCAACCCCAGCGCAGCAGGCAAACTGCCAGAACCAAGGACATAACAGGTGCAACTAGTCTGGGTCACCTTAGTGCAGTGGGTAAGCCGTCAGGCCCCAGTGCAGAAAGCTGTGACCAGAAGCCTGGCCCCCAGTGCAAGAAGCTTGGGACAGTGCCCCCTGTACCCCAGGAACACAGCTCAACTTAAAAAAAAAAAAAAGCAAAAAGCAAAAAATAGCACTGACCATAGAAAGCTACTATGGCGACAGGGAAGATCAAACACAAACTCAGAAGAAAACAACAATGTCAAAATGCCTACATGCAAAGCCTCAAAGGAGAATATGAATTGGTCTGAAGGTCAAAAATTCCTCTTGGAAGAGCTCAAAAAGGATTTTAAAAATCAAGTAAGAGAAGAAGAAAAATTAGGAAAAGAAATGAAAGTTATGCAAGAGAATTATGAAAAATGACTCAACAGCTTGAAAAAAGAAGCACAAAAACTGATTAAAGAAAACAACTACTTAAAAAAACAGAATTGGCCAAATGGGGGAAAACCCACTGAAGAAAATAACTCCTTTAAAAACAGAATTGGCCAAATGGAAAAAGACGTACAAAAGCTAACTTAAGAAAATAATTACTTAAAAATTAGGATTGGGCAAGTGGAAGCCAATAACTATGAGACATCAAGAATCAGTTAAATAAAATCAACAGAATGAAAAAATAGAAGAAAATGTAAAATACCTCATTGGAAAAAAACACTGACCTGGAAAATAGATCCTGGAAAGACAGTTTAAGAATTACTGGACTCCCAGAAAGCCATGATCAAAAACAGAGCCTAGACAGCATCTTTCAAGAAATTATGATGGAAAACTACCATGATATCCTAGAACCAGAGGGTAAAACAGTGACTGAAAGAATCTACCAATTACCTCCTGAGATTCCAAAATGAAAACTACAAGGAATATTGTAGCCAAATCCCAGAAAAATACTGCAAGTAGCCAGAAAGAAACAATTCAAATAACAAGGAGCCACAGTCAGGATTGCACAGGGCTTAGCAGCTTCTACATTAAAGGATCATGGAATATGATATTCTGGAAGGCCAAGAAGCCTGGATTACAACCATGAATCAACTACCCAACAAAACTGAACATAATCTTTCAGAGGAAAAGATGGACATTCAATGAAATAGAAGACTTTTAAAATTTCCTGATGAAAAGATCAGAGTTGAAAAGAAAATCTGATCTTTAAATACAAGACTCAATAAGCATAAAAAGGTAGACAGGAAAGGAAAAAAAAAACCATGGTATTAAATAAGGTTAAACTGTTTAAATCCCTACATGGGAAGATGATACTTGCAACTCTTGAGAACTGTATCTCTATTAGGGTAGTTAGAAGGAGTATACTTAGACCAGAGAGTGTGGGTACAAGTTGATTTTGATGTGATGATTAAAAAAAATGATTAAGGGGTGAAAAAGGATTGTTCTGGGAGAAGAGGAAAGGGGGAAGCAGAATGGGGTAAATTATATCACATGAAGAGGCATGAAAGACCTATTACAGTAGATGGAAAGAAGGGAGAGGGTGTGCATTATTTGAACCTTACTTTCACTGGATTTGGCTCAAAGAAGGAATAACATAAACATTCAGTTGAGTAAAGAAATCTATCTTACCTTATAGAGAACTAGAAGGTGAAGGAGAAAAGAAAAAGGGGGTGCTGACAGAAAGGAGGGCAGATTGAGGGAGGCAGTGGTCAAAAGCAAAACATTAGTGAGGAGGGGCAGGGTGAAAGGAGAGAGAGAAAAAAGTATAAATGGGGAAAGTAGGATGGAGGGAAATACACAGCCAGTAATCATAACTGTGAGTGTGAATGGGATGAACTCTCCCATAAAACAGAGGTGGATAGCAGAGTGGATTAAAAACCAGAATCCTACAACATGTTGTTTACAAGAAATACATCTGAAGCAGAGAGACATACACAAAATAAAAGTAAAAGGGTGGAGCAGAATATATTATGCTTCAGCTGAAGTAAAAAAAAGAAGGGGTAGCAATCCTGATCTCAGACAAAGCAAAAGCAAAAATAGATCTAATTAAAAGAAGCAAAGAAGGAAACTACATCTTGCTAAAAGGTACTACAGACAAATAATATCAATCCTAAACATATATGCATGAAGTGGTATAGCATCCAAATTCTTAAAGGAGAAGTTAAGTGAGTTACAGGAAGAAATAGAAAGCAAAATTATACCAGTGGGTAATTTCAGCCTCCCCCTCTCAGAACTAGATAAATCTAACCACAAAATGAACAAAAAAGGAGATGGATTGAATTTTAGAAAACTTAGATATGCTGGACCTCTGGAGAGAAGTGAATAGGGATAAAAAGGACTATACATTTTTCTCAGTGGTACATGGCACCTACACAAAAACTGACCATGTGTTAGGGCATTAAAAACCCCATGATCAAATGCAGAAAGGTAGAAATATTAAATGCATCCTTTTCAGATCATGATGTAAAAAAATTACATATAACAAAGGGCCGTGGAAAGATAGATTAAAAATTAATTGAGAACTAAATAATCTAATCCTAAAGAATGAGAGGGTCAAACAACAAATCATAGAAACAATCAATAATTTCATCAAAGCAACAATAATGAGACAACATACTTATGGGATACAACCAAAGCAGTTCTTAGGGGAAATTTTATATCTCTAAATGCTTACATGAATAAAATAGAGAAAGATCAATGAATTGGTTATGCAATTTAAAAAGCTAGAAAAAGAACAAATTAAAAATCCCCAAACACCAAATTAGGAATTCTGAAACTCAAAGAAGAGATTAATAAAATTGAAAATAAGAAAACTATTGAACTAA